CTAAACGAGAAAACAATGGGCGGAACTAAATAAAATGGAATTTTGAAAGGGGATCAGAGGTTATGAAGCCTGCGTATCACAGATAAGACGTCAAAAGACAAATTTAAAAAGCAGGCAACATATCCTAAGGGTGATTCAACATTATTCAAGTAGGAATATTGGAACCACCCAAATAGAAAATGCCGAAAAGTTGAAACAAAAAATACCACAAGCACAACAATAATGTCGTGCTGAACGATCTTCAAGGATCGAAAATATAACATCATTGAAAGCCTGCGTATCACAGATAAGACGTCAAAAGACAAATTTAAAAAGCAGGCAACATATCCTAAGGGTGATTCAACATTATTCAAGTAGGAATATTTGAACCACCCAACTAAGAAATGCCGAAAAATTGAATCTTAAAATACCACAAGCACAACAATAATGTCGTGCTGAACGATCTTCAAGGATCGAGAATATAACATCATTGATTAAATGAACGGGGAGACTTTTTACAGCCGCCACACGGCACAAATAACACTGATGTGATCATAAAATAGATAAAAACAGAATCCCTAAAGAAAGCCCAACACAGCAAAATTGAAAATGTTGCAGGCTCGGTTTGATTGAGCCTGTTCATGGACGGTACTGGAAAGTGCAAGTTACCGTCCACGCCCCCTAGCACCGGCTTAAGCAGAATTCAACATTTAAACATGTAATGGTAAAAGTTTGTTAATCACATCGTCAGAGAATAAATCAGGCTGGCTAATCCCTTGTCGCAGAATCACTATTGAAATTAAATCAAAATTACGATTGTAAAATATTACCGTAATTTATGATAGCAATAGCCTGCTTTGGAAGCTTGCTAGTAATAAAAATATTCTACTCGTTGAAATCCTTTACGTTTCTACAAATACTAGTGAATCTAATTAACTGAGAATCATATACAGCGTAAGGTATTGCATGGGGTACGTTTCCACCTAAATGTGGACAAGAAAAGTATTGATGCAAAGCATCAAAAGGCGTCCAAGCAATAAGTGCAGCAAGTAAAGACAAGAGGGCCTGGGGTCGCTCACCTGAACATAGGCCCCCAGGGCGGGGCCAGTTTAAACCAAAGGGCTTTTATTTGAACAAACTTGGAAGACACCCATTAGAAGATGTTTCATGATGTTAAGTTTTTACCATACACAAATAATGAAAAACAATGACTTTTGCCTCCCTCCCCTTCCCCCTGGCAGGGCCAATTTTAACCCAAAGGCTTTTATTTAAACAAACTTGGTAGACACCCATTAGAACATGTTTCGTGCTAAATATCTTAGCTCTAGCTCTTTGGGTTCTTTAAAATAAGATTTTTAAGTTTTTAAATACTATATGCAATATAGGGAAAATCAATGACCCCCAAGGGCGGGGCCTATTTTGACCCAAGGGCTTTTATTTGAACAAACTTGGTAAACATCCATTAGAACATGTTTCATACTAAATATCTTAGCTCTAGCTCTTTGGGTTCTTTAAAGGAAGATTTTTAAGTTTTTACTCTATGTATATAGGGAAAATCAATGACCCCTGGGGCTGGTCCAATTTTGACCCCAGGGCTTTTATTTGAACAATCTTGGTAGACACTCATTAGAAGATGTTTCATGCTAAATATCTTAGCTCAAGCTCTTTGGGTTCTTTAAAAGAAGATTTTTTTAAGTTTTTACTATATGCATATAGGGAAAATCAAAGACCCCCTGGGGCGGGGCCAATTTTGACCCCAGGGCTTTTATTTGAACAATCTTGGAGGACACCCATTAGAAGATGTTTCATGCCAAATGTCTAAGCTCTAGCTCTTTGGGTTCTTTAACCCATTACTTCATGAGCATTTTGTGAAAAATGGCTGTTTTCATTGAAAAGTCTCCCGTTACAAGTTCAAATTGCTATAATACTATAAAAACTGCTTCAACACTAATCAAACTTGGCACAAATGTTGACTGGACCATTGTCCTTGCAACAACATGCTCAGGCTTAAATTTTCTGTTACCATGGCAACGAGGGGACATCTCAAAATTGCCAAAAATCACTATTTTGCGTTGATTTTTTCCATCAAAATTGATTTCAAAGTGCTGCAACTTCTCAATGGATTGACATAGAGTCAAATGCTTTTCAGCGTTGGTTACACGTGACCTTATGATCAATCTGGGGTCATTTACAGCCTCTCACAAGTCCAAAATTTTCTGGCAACCCCCTGATGTATCTTTTGGTTGGGGGCCGCGCCGAAAAAAAGGTCGCTTTTTTAACAACATTTCTCAAACTAAAATAAGTGTTTGGGGCCTAAATAAGGCATTTTTTTCATCATTTGAGACAACAAAGAAGGGGGGGGGGTGAAAAAGGCGTTAAAAGGCGTGTATATGAAGTAATGGGTTAACATATTTTTTTTTAAGTTTTTACTATATGCATATAGGGAAAATCAAAGACCCCCTGGGGCGGGGCCAATTTTGACCCCAGGGCTTTTATTTGAACAAACTTGGTAGACATCCATTAGAACATGTTTCATGCCAAATCTCTAAGCTCTAGCTCTTTGGGTTTATTTTAGAAAAATATTTTTTTAAGTTTTTACTATATGCATAAAGGGAAAATCAATGACCCCCTGGGGCGGGGCCAATTTTGACCCCAGGGCTTTTATTTGAACAAACTTGGTAGACACTCATTAGAAGATGTTTCATGCTTAATATCTTAGCTCTAGCTCTTTGGGTTCTTTAAAAGAAGATTTTTTTAAGATTTTACTCTATGCAGATAGGGAAAATCAATGACCCCCTGGGGCAGGGCCTATTTTGACCCCAGGGCTTTTATTTTAACAAATTTGGTAGACATCCATTTAAACATGTTTCATGCCAAATATCTAAGCACTAGCTCTTTAGTTTTTTAGAAAAAGATTTTTTAAAATTTTTTACTCTATGCATATAGGGAAAATCAATGACCCCCTGGGGCGGGGCCAATTTTGACCCCAGGGCTTTAATTTGAACAATCTTGGTAGACACTCATTAGAAGATGTTTCATGCTTAATATCTTAGCTCTAGCTCTTTGGGTTCTTTAAAAGAAGATTTTTTAAAGTTTTTACTAAATGCATATATGGAAAGTCAATGACCCCCTGGGGCGGGGCTAATTTTGACCCCAGGGCTTTAATTTGAACAATCTTGGTAGACACTCACTAGAAGATGTTTCATGCCAAATATCTAAGCTTTAGCTCTTTGGGATTTCTAGAAGAAGACGTTTAAAGTTTTTTCTTTTGGTTGCCATGGCAACCAGAGTTCTGCATGGAATGGAATTCTTTGAACAACTTTGTTAAGGCTTCACACAAGGAACATTCCTGTGAAGTTTCAATATGATCTGCCTTATGGTTTCAGAGGAGATGTCGTTTGAAAAGTGTGAACGGACAACGTACGACGGACGACGTACGAAGGACGACGGACGAAGAGTGATCCTAATAGCTCACATTCATATCAATAAACCCAAAATAACCCTTGTTAAAAGTGCAGACGAAAGTTTCTGTTGTTAAGATGTCACAATATTCAGCAAGTGAATATTCCACTCAAACTACCATAAAATCGAACAAACAAACTATAGAACACCGTTAGCTAAAGACACTTGAACTATAGTATACTACTGCTACACCTGTTAATTGTTGCACAACGTCAAAATAAAAGCGACAAATAAAGTTATGAAGTAGGTCAATTTAAATATTCACGGTAAAATGTCATAAGTGCAATCTGGGCCGTAAAAAGAAAACCGGAGAGACCTACGGAAGAAACAATTTCAAAATGATATTACTATGATAAAACAATTCGTAAGAATGGCCTACTTATTTTTTTTCTATAGATTTATAAAGAGTGCAATCAATTGTTTGAATATGTTTGCATTTCATTTTCTGCAAACTTCTCAAGTTCGTTATTTTTTACCATAACTCGACACAATGACCGTTTCGTTGAAATAAATCATCTATAAATAGATTTTCGGACTTTCACAATGTAAATGTCATCATTCTACTGATAAGTTCAACGGTAACATAATAACCCACATGATTAATAAAGCGCGATTTATTGACTGATAAGATAATTATATTTTCACATATCGCGACATTTCATTTTGATATACCAATCGGAATGATCGGCTATTATGACAGACGAAAAGGCCCGAGAAGTTGCAATTGCCCTTGATTTCATTCCATAAGGGGCGTCGCGCTTAGGCGCTCACGCCAATAATCAACTATACAAAAATCAAAGTTTTAACTTTTATCATATTTTTTGTGTGGACAGAATTGTTTCTGACTGTAATATGAAGATCCTAAAAGTTCAATAAGTTGTGGTTCATAGGGGTAAATATCAGACACCATTTCATCAAAATGAGCATTATCTAAATTAAAAATATCATCAAGGTATCTGGTAGTATGAATAAATGCTACTACAGCATCTTGTTGTGTTATCCAGAGAGACTCAAAGTCTCTTTCATAGCAGTACAAAAACAATTGAAGTGCGCACTTTGGATGATTTATGCACACGAAGGAAAGAAACTGATAAAGATGCTCAAATAAAAAAAAATATTGATTTACATCAACTAATCAAGGCACACTTAGTAAACGAGTTGATCAATATGTAATTGAAATAGAATTGCCCAAGGCCATCTAACGATTCAACGAAGAGGAAACAAAAGTAATTGATCTGTTTGATCCATGTTGAAATGAATAAACCATAATTGTTAGATTTTGTTCTTTTTTTTCTTTTTTTATTAAATTAACAATAAATATATTTATGTTCAAAAATGATAAAATGTTCTTTTTTTATAAGGATCCAACTGATCTATTCTATTCAAAATGTGCACACCCAGAAAATACCCTTCGAACCATTTTGTTGAAATTGAATTCGGATGAAAATTGTTTAAGTCATTCGGTTGTTTATCTAATTGTTATGAATTCAGTATTATTGTGATAAAATTTTATATGACACTCTTTGTTTTCAATTCCATTTCACTTTAATCCATAACGGCTATCTATGAGTAACCCATTTCCAGAAAATCATTATCATCACTATAAAGAAACTCATATTCCCAAATATCAAATAATAAGTTATTGTCGGTTTTTTATTGTTATGATAATGTTCCAACACGTCATGTGTTTTGTTTTCAGTCACATCCAATGAGTTAATTAAACTTCGTTTCCACCCTTCTCGGAGTATTTTACTCAGTCTTTGTTTTATAAGGTCATAACTTTTATCAAATGCACGATTTCTGTTCTCTTCCGGGTCTAATTTATGATCGTACAGCTCTATTCTCGGAGATTTTGACCATTTTGGTTTAAACTTTATATTATCAAATACGGGCCACTCTGTATATCGATATCGATCCGTTTTTATAGAATATCCCATGTAGTTTTGACGGGGATACTGTGAGAAAGCAGCTTCTCTTATTGGTTTAGTTGGTTCGTTTATTAAAGGTAAAAAACTTATACCTTCGCGGCACGATTCTATGTTTGCTGAATGTTGAGGGCACAGTGGTAACTGTTTTAGCCCCACAGAATCTACCAACGTAGGAAATAAGTCCACAAACTCCACTAGAGATTTACTTCTTATTCCTTGATTTGTTTTTCCTGGGATATGTAGCATCATTGGTGCATGATTAGATAATTCAAAGTTTGTTTGCTTTCCCCATTCCCCGTGCTCACCAAGCTGATATCCATGGTCACCAATAAAGGAGATTATTGTATTATTTGATAAACCAAGATCGTCTAACTCTTGCAAAATATTGCCAATTAGATGGTCCACCCAGGTCACAGAGCTGTAATAAGCGCGGCGTAGAGACAAAGTTGATTCCTTAGTAAGCTTTGCTTTGCTTCGAGGGCCCGTATATTTTACATCGATATAATTCGTGAACCTCCCAAAGCTGTTCCATGCTACACTGGGCATATTGTACGGCGGATTAGGGTTATCTGGCAGGTGTACATCCGGATAATATTTCAAAAAAGATTTCGGGAAAACAAACGGTAAGTGAGGTCTTCTAAATCCGACAGCCAAGAAAAATGGTCGTTTATCAGTGTTCACATCAGTGGCAAGCTTTCGCAGGGTAACTATTGCATGTTTTGCTGTCTGGTCGTCTAGTAAAGGTTTGGAGTGTAATTCTTTATCTGGTATCGCTGCCCAACTGTTTCCAATCTCTTCATAGTTAGGAATCCCATGAAAATAAGGTTCAGACCATGATACCGGATCATCTCCTCCTGAGTTTTTACCTTTACTGTGAAATACTTTACCCATTCCTATTGACCTGTATCCATTCATTTTAAAATACTGTGGTATTGTTGTAAAATTACCTCCTTTTTCTCTAAAATAACGTCCGCATTGATAGACATGTGTTGTGTCTGGTCTACGCCCAGTTAGTAGCGATGCGCGACTTGGTCCACAGAGTGCTTGTTGGACGTAGGCACGTTCCAACACTAAGCTCCTAGAAGCTAGAGAATCAAGATTTGGTGTATACATTTTTGGAGACACATACGGAGGGTAACTGTCTTTTGCATATGAGCCAAGTTGCGGCCGTAAATCATCGGATACTAAAAATAGAACATTCATTTCACAGTCAATACGCACAATACAAGACAGAATTGTGAGCATGTATACATATATTTTCAACATCTTTAGTTCTTTGAATAAATTCTCCTTTTGAAATGATTTGAGCAGAGTGTCTCATAGTATCAATGCATTGTTAAAGCAAATGTAATGAACACGAATAATTTAGCTTTAAATTACAATAAATCCTTTAATTCTTCTATTTTCACATTATATTTCACTTTGTATTTAATATATTCCACAACTTAGGTATATCTAATGACTATATGGCAAATGTTGCAGCAGTCTGCGTTATATTCCAGGTGTAGTTCATATCCTCAAAGTCCTTTATACAATGAATATTGATTTTGAAATTTCAATAATGATAATATCTGTTAAAAACAGTATATAGTAAACTTGAAGGAAAACAAATTGAAAAATCACGCCGTGGGGCTTTTTGATCTCATCTCGATAAAAGACAAACACAGTAGACAATGTAATCGAGGGCATATCACCGTGGAAAATTGTTTTTTTAACCGCTCAATTGCATACTTATTACAAAGTGTATACCTTTTATAGATTCTACGTCATGTTCGTTAGATCACTGCTGTAATTTAAGCTATGTTTTTAACTTTTTATAAGTAATTTTTTATTTAAACAAATGTGACTTTTCAAAACGTTTGTTATATACATGTATATCATATGAATTATTGTTCATAATTTATTTACGGACAGAACCAAAATTTAATTGAATACTTAAACGGGCGCTTTAATATTTTCATAACTGACAGGCCAATTAAAGCGATAAAATAAGTAAATGGAAAGGTAAATGTGCTTTATTTATCTTTACGTTTTAAAAATGAGGCGGCCACGAATTTATATACATGTAAAACAAAAGATTTATTAACGCATCTTTATCAAAGAAATACACGATGATAAAACATATAATAATTATTAAAAATAAGATAAGCCGTCAGATTTATTTTTCATACAACTGTATCACTTTATTAGTGTATATATGTGATACGTGACCGAGGTACTCTTTTTTGTTCACTGCTGCGCATCATTTAGTGTATATCACACGTATTAACCGCATTATTTTGTGTACATCAAATTAACCAACCGCACCATTTTGTGTGTATCACATGTGTTTTATTGTGCGTGTCATTTGTTAACTGCTGTGAATCACATTTGTTAACCGCATTATTTTGTGAAAATTACACTTGTTAATCGCATCATTTTGTTGTATCACATTCGTTAGCCGTATCATAATGTATTGTGTATCTCTCGTTTGTTTTGTGAAACACATTATCATGTTTAAATCTTATTTATTTATTAACTGCATTATTGTGTGTATATATCATTTGTTAAGTTATTCGCATTATGTGTTTAAAACACCACATCATTTTCTGTATATCTTATTTTCTTTACTTCATCAAATTGTTTACATCTCATTTGTCAAACACATTTTTTTTTGTGTAAATCTCATTTGTTAAACGCATTATTTTGTGTATACATGTATCTTATTTGTTAACCGCACTTTTTTGTGTGTATCAAATTTGTAAACCCTTTAAATCTTCTTTTATTTGAAATTTCATTTGTAAACCGCAACATTTTGTGTAGCTATATAACATTTGTTAACCGCATCAATATTTGTGGGTGTCATTTTAATAACCGCATCATTATTTGAATATCACATTATATTTGACCTTTCTAGATTTAAGCATCTCTTCATGTACCAACGTTATTTATAATTTATAGCTTTGAATATTTTCCCGTGTAGCTTTAAGATAATGTTACTTTGAGAAACCTGAAATAAATACGACCTCTACTGAGACGATTTTGCTTTTAATATTTCTAGTAACTACAGAACTTCTGTACAGTTTAAGTTATTTTCTTTTTACAAAGTATTCAAGAATTGGTTAATTGATATTTTGAATAACATGCCATTATTGAAAAGTTATGTGTTTTGCAGTGACTTTTTCCATTTATTTTTTCAGATGGCAGACTGTACAAATTTTTAATGATAATTTTAATGATAAATAAAGTAAAAACATTTTCTCTGCTGCTGACAACAAATTATATTTAGTTGTAGATCGCGTTGGTGCAAATCGATGAGGAACTTTCTACGCTTATAATTGATACATGCCTTTCCGTTTTATTTTTTTGCATACTCGACAGTCGCGTATAAAAATAGTACAAAATACCAATTATGTTATATTCTTCATGTTCATATATATAAGTATGAAATATATGTGGTTTTCTTTGCAAGCTAAAATATAATTTTTATCATACACTATGCAAAAATGTTGTTAATGAATTACGATTGCATTATAATGTGACCTGATTCTAATAATTATAATAGTTATAATAATAATAAGTTTTATTAATAATAATCATGATGATGATGATGATAATAATAATAATAATAATAATAATAATAATAATAATAATAATAATAATAAATAACAATTTTCTCTAGTCATAATGATATACTGGTATTTTTATGTACTTGTTTTTAACTGTGAAATTTAAAATCAACTAATTTTAATTAGATAATGCCCAAGGCTATTATTTTCTATTTTACCATGTTATGAACAAATTATTTTTAGTTGTAGCCTTATCAAGTTTGAAAAAGGTTTATGCATTAAAGACTTCATACAAGTTTTGCGAGTATCAATTTCAAAAAGCAAATAAAGCCCTTTTATGTCGATTAACAGCTTAACTCCAAATAGAATTCGATAGGAGTTTTTACCCCGTTAGTGGAATAAGGTGACACTATGTACAAATGTAGACATCTATCTTTTATTATATTTATCCTCTGTTAAAGTGCCTTAAACAAATATTTTCGCTACATAAGGGGTCATTTTTTATGAATACCTAAACAGAAAGTTAATGGAATGAAAATTGTTATTGTATGCGTATCATAAATACTAAATAATGCATACTTTTTGCGAAATAGAAAAGGTTTGTCAGGGTTTACTTATTTATCAATTTAAAAAAGGACCAAATTTCATCAGATTATAACATATATATACAACATAACATTTAAGACATTCTAAATATATGTACAGTATTTTACATAGCAAACTGATTGATTATTTAGTTTTAAGAGTGAAAGTTCTACACTTATACGAGTAGGTATGTAAATATTTTTATTATATACCTATAAATTTTTTCCCTAAAATACACGCAAATATTGAAGCGCAAATACGCTTCAACGGATAAAAATTTCCGTATTATGTTAGTGACAAATACGGTACCATATATGGAAGTGCCGGTCTATTTTTGACGTTGGTTCCGATCTTAGCTTTGTATTACGTTGCATTTGAAAACGGGAACCAACATTATAAAAGGCGTGGCCGGTTTGCAAGAATTACGTATTCATCCGTCAGTCATGCATTTATTTCTTGACAACTACATTTCATTTTCTGAATAAAACGAAAAGGTATATAATAAAAGGAAAATTATGTTATAGTAGCTTTCTGAGACTATGTATTTTTGTACTCGCAACGGAGGAAAATTGATATCTATATTCCACCGCCGCTCGTAGAAAAATACAAAGCCTCAGAAAGCTACTACAACATAATATTCCGTATATATTGTACAATACGATGATACGTTATATTGGATTATAAAAGTATCTCTAGTATGAGTTTTCTTTTGCATTATTTCGAAGTCATTGAATAATAATAATAATGATAATGATAATAATAATAATAATAATGACGACGATAACAGAAGCAGCAGCATCAGCATTAGCAGCAGCAGCAACAACAACAACAGCATCAGCATCAGCAACAACAACAGCAGCAACAACAACAATGATAATGATAATGATAAAAAATGAGAATAATTAGAGCAATTTAAGAAGTGGTAAACGATTTAACAATTAATGAAACATAAAATATTTTTACTCTTTTGCAGTAATTCCGTTCAATTTTATAATTTACTTCGCATGAAAGCTTGCTTGGCCGATGACAATTTCCGTAAATATCTGTTTGTATTGACCTTAAACGTTTGAATTGTATTAGGAAAAAGGTGGGACAGACTTTTTATATTTATATATATTATAGCCAATCTTTTGACTTGAGAGTGTAATGACTGAACTTCACTTTTTTCTATGATTAACTACAAACAAATTGTTTGTTAATGAATTTTCCACATACTTGGACACAACAATCCTTGCAGGATAGATGAGCCTCACATTTTGAGTCATAGATGACCTTTCATTATGTTGAAAGAAATAATAATACCTTTTTGAATATTTAGACATAATTATAGTTTTAATTCTTAAATAAGTCTTTAGGTTAACTAAATTGCAGTAATATCAAATCTATTTAATGGGAGGTGCACAATAATTTTGACAACAAACTTTGCTTCAAGTACATGTAGTTTTTTGTCGGATGCTCAATTGTTTAGATTCGTACACTGTTTGTTCTTTTTAAGATGTTTATAATATATTAATATCTAAATTATCATTCAAAAGTGTAAAAAATCTATTCTTTAATTTTGTCGTCTGCTAAGTTATTATAAACAGCATGGTGTGTCACGCCGCAAAAAGCTCTCGACGAATATAGCTCTCAAGAGAGATTTAACCGTTGCGCTGCAACGCATTTAGCTCTTGGTTAAGTCCAAACGAACAAAGCTCACGGGAGCATGAATACATTTAAAAAGTGAAGCCTTGCTTCGACGAATAAATCTCTTAGCATTGCAGTTAATTATAAACAACATATCGTCATGAAGAAAATGTGAACTGACATCATCATCATCATCATCATCATCATCATCATCATCATCACAATCATCATCATCATCATCATCATTATCATCTTCATCATTATCAACAACATCATTAAAATCATATTTATTATTATCGTCGCACTTATCATCCTCAAAGTCATAATATTTTAAGTCCTCTTGCATCATAAATATCAGAATTATAAATATCATTAATAAAATTGTCATAAAAGTCATCATCGTCATTATCATCGTGAAATATCGCCTGCATCACCATTAACAAT